TGGGGCCGAGGCGCAGTGGCCGCCATGTCTCCTGCCTCTCTGGGCCGGTGTTCACCCAAGCAGAAGGCCCGGGAGACGGCGGAAGGACACGACGTGTGTTGGTGGCCACGAGTCCCTGTTGGAAGACACCTGGCACCTCGCAGAGCCCCCCGCCGAGTGGGGCCCCTGCTGCTCACCCCCTGTGCCGCGCTGTCCCAGCAGCACCGCCGGCTGTGGACCGGCGCTCACCTCCTTGGCACGTGCAAAGGCCCAGGGGCCTCAAGGTCCCGCTAGACACACTCACACCCTCGGCAGCTCAGGGGACGATTTGGTGGGCGGCGAACTGTGTAAAATCACACCCGAGCGGCCCACGCATCCCCCGACACAGTCTCCCATGCTCTGTAAAGCCCGGTGTGGGTGTGTGTGCACACGCGTGTGCACACACACACGCGCCGACCGGCCTGCGCCGGAATCCTGGCTCAGCCTCAGTCCGCACAGCACACGTGCACGCCTGAACGCGCGCTCTCAGGAATCACTGGTCTCGAGGCAGCGGGACCCTTCGTCGGAGTTCAGCGGGTGCCGGGCCCTGGTTCCGGGGTCCCGAGCGTGAACCCTTTCAATCTCTGCAGCTTCCCGCCGAGGGGGCTTGTGCCATCGCCCGGAGAAGCGGGCTCAGGCAGCGACCCACCCCAGCCCACCCCGCTGGGACCTGAACCCAGGCGGCCTGTCCGGTGCCCGGCCCTCCCCTTGTACCCGGACCCCGCGCTTATGCGGCACACCTGTATGCACACAGCCACCCCCCTCCCAGCCTCCCGCGGCTACCCTGCACGCCCCCCGGGGCGGCTGGGTGCACGCCCGCTGGCCGCAGGGCGGAAAGGCCCAGCCGAGCGGCTGCCCCGGGGACTGGCAGTAAACCCCAGCAGCTAGAAACACGGTCGGTCTTCCTCCAAGAGCGAAAGCACTAAAACAAAGCCATAAACGCAATTACACCGTCTCCTGCCATAAATTAGGACGTTACGAAGTGCTGTGATCTATTCCCACTCATACCCGGCTCTGTAAGACGGCCCGGCCCCACGGGCCCTCCCGAGAGGGTGATTTACGGGTGCTGTTGTCAACGGCTTGCCGTGGGGGAGGGGGCTCCCGAGCCCCGAGGAGTCGGGGGCCCAGCGCAGGCCACATGCGCGCTCGGGGCCGGCCGGGCCGCCCGCCGGGCAGGGACACCTCGCACCTCCCCCCCTTCCCCTTGGCCCGAGGGTCCCCGGGGGGCTGGGCCCCGTAGCACCCGCTACGTTGATTCCGCCAGCGTTCACCGGAGCCCCCCAGCGCTGGCGAGGAAGGGCGGGGGTCCCGGGCGCATGGAGCCTAATTCTGATGAGCGACACAAACCCACACTGGGCGTCTCGGGGGAAAGAGGTTAGGCGCTGCTCAGGGGGATCGGGAGGGCGGCGAGCTCGGTCGGTGATGTTGGTAAGACCTAAGGGTGGGAGTGGCTGGTGCCGACAGCAGGAGCGTCCCCGACACAGGCCGCCATGTTTACGGACCGGCCCAGAGATCTGGAGTGGAGTGAATAAAGAGGGAAGAAGGAGGGGAGGCCAGAAAGCCAAGGGGGACGTGCCAGGGGACCACAGCAGGGACGCGGCTTCTGGGACTGAGGTGGAGCTCATTGCAGGGGAAAGCTGGCTGACAGGCTACTGCAACCGTCCCAGCCAGGGAGCATGGCGGCCTAGCCTGGGCTGGGCCGTGGCGGGGGAGGGGAGGGGGCAGGGCTCTCCCCGGCTCCACCGACAGACACGATGCTGAGCCTGACGCCGAGATTTGCAACCTTCTCCTGAGGCGAGGAAACCGCGGAAGGGCCGGGCCGGGCCCAGAGAGGTGGAAAGGCCTAGATGGGAGTGCAGGACGCCGTGTGCTCGCAGTGTGCACGTGCCGGTGTGTGTCCCCCGCCCGAGCCTGGCGCGCTCCAGATCCAGAGGGCAGCGGACCACGGCTGTCGCATCGGGGGGCCCTCCTGCTGGCACAGTCAGTGGGGAGAGCTCTGGGCAGGCAGACCCCAGATGGAGCCAACACCTCTGCGTGGACACGGGTGCCCGGCATGTGCGGGAGGGCACAGGGGCAAAAGTCCTAGGTCCCCGTGACCCCCGCCGCCCTCCCTGACCAGGCAGCGGCTTTCTGAGCGAGGACCAGGGGCCACGCCCACAGGAGCAGGGCACAGGCGTGGCAGTCTACAGGGATAGAGGCCCCAAAAGTCCCGGAGTGGGGACGGGACCACCTGCTCGGTGGCCCCACGGCCCCAGGTGGGTGTCACCCCCTCGGTCCTTCCTGTGTCCAGCAGGGCCCGTGGTCCCGCTCGGCGTGGCCGGGCTGTGTCATGGGGCGGGCCGGTCGGCATTCACTCCTCAGACCCCGTGTCCCACCCTGTGTTGGTGGCTTTGCATGATCTCTGTGTGTTTGGAAGGGGTGGCGGGAGACTTTGGGGTGAGACTTTGGGGTGCTGCTGGGGGCCCTGGGGCCCTGGACAGGCAAGGCGGGCTTCTGCCCTGAGCTTTCCAGCACAGGGCTCCCTCCTGGCTGGGGGAAGGTACCCCTACCCCGAGTCCCTCCTAGCCCTGCCCCCAGCTGTGGGCCAGCCACACCCCTTCCTCCAGGAAGCCTCCAGGGACTCGAGGTGCACCTGGACCGCAGCCGCTTCGCCGTCTAACGGGGACCGTGCAGGTGTCTCAGGTCTCCAGCGGGGGGGGGGGGGGGAAGGGGGGGAGAAGACGGCCGGCGGCAGCCCCAGGGCCCCCACCTTCCTTGGGCCTTCACTCCCGCACCTCCCTGGTATCTGTGACATGGGAGGGGGAGAGCTGGGGGCCTGCAGGACAGATGGAGGGCAGGTGAAAGGTGAGGTTATGCAGACGGGCTGAGTCATGGCAGCCATGTCCCCGTGTGTGTCCCTGGTGTGAGAGCCAGCGTGGAGCCAGCTGGGGCCCCAGACTCCTGCGTGCCTTGAGCCTCGGACCCCCAACTCCCTGCAGCCCACACGGGTCCTGGACAGTCTGCAAACAGGAGGGCCCAAGTGACCTTCGTCCCGGGACGCTACAGACGGCTCTCAGATGTCCCGAGAGTAGGTCCTGCCCCACCTTGAGACCCGGACCGCCCGTGGCCCCAGGGCACCGCGAACTGCCTCCCAGAGCAGGGGGCTCTCTCCCTCGCCCCCCAGGCCTGGGTGCCCCCCCCCCCCCCACCCCCACCCCTTGGCTGTCTCCCACCAGTGCGGCCAGGGCCATCAGCAGATCTGGGGCTGGGATCAAGGCCAGGCAGGTTCTGCAAAAATTTCCCTTGAAAGACTCTTTTTCAAGATTTTCTTTTGAAAACAAATTCATAACCACATCACACAGGAGCCCTGTCGCCTCGGGTTTGATCACCAGCCGCCCGGGGCCCTCTCGCTAGCTGTTACTCTAACTGCTTTTTTCTCCTGCGAGGGCCGCGTGCATCGTCTGCTGAGTTGAGACCAGGAACAAGGGCGCTTTTGTCGGCCTTAGTCTTTCAGTCCCTATCAGATTGCAAGGAAGGATGAGGTCCCAGATCCCCAAAACCCATCTGCCCCAGCGGCTCCGGGGCCCGAGCGCGGCGGCCTTCCCCTGGGCACCCGCCAGGTGGACGCACCTCTGTGGCCCATGGCAGCTACCCCGGCCCTCTGAGTGCTCATCGCGTCACCTTCCACCGTGTAAGCGGGACAAAGTCACCTGTGCCCAAGTGGAGGAGACAGAGCGCAGGACAAGGCCACCTCAGGGACCATCTCTCTGGGAAGTGACAGAGTCAGGCCCAGGGCCAGACAGGAGCTACCCGCCCGTCACCCCAGCTCGGGTTCTCCGGAGCCCACCGGCCCGGGCGAGTAAGGCCCCTGCCAAGGGGCTGCTGCATGAGTCCCGGGACCACCCTGATGCCCTGCCCCCAAGCACAAGAGTGTCGGACTCCATCAGCCTTGAGGGGGCAGGGCCTAGGGGCTGGGGAGTACAGGGCAGACTTGGGGTGCTCAGAGCCAGCAGCTGAGCGCAAGGTAGCCCTGGGGGCAGGGAGTGGCACCAAGGCCAGCCACTGAGCTCCAGGAGGGGCACGGCTCCGGGGGAAGGGGCCGGGAGGGCTCTGGAGGGCTTGGCCCACCCACCACCCCCCCCACCGTTCACCGCACCCCTGCCGGCCCCAGCACGGACCGCAGGACGGTGCCCAGGCGGCCAGGAGAGGCCCGGCCTCCCCCGCCCCTCCCGCATCCCTGCCACACCTCTGTTTCCTCTTTGCCCCAGAATACCCTGTAAAGGCTTCCAGACCCACACGCACACCTGGGGGCTTCGACAGATGGGCACGTGCCGCAGGGTGAAAGCTTATGAAACCACAGATCCTCTTCTGTAATGTACTTGGTGCTTTCATTAATGCCAAACCGATCGATACCCGAGCTGGGGCCAGTTAAGTGCCACTGGGCCACGCCCGGATGTGCCTTGTTCAAAGCCACTGGTGTGCAGGCCTCGGAGAGCCCAGGTGACTTCCGCTGGGCCTCCCAGGGCGCCCGCAGGTAGTGGAACTGAGGGGCCCCGGGAGTCTCGGGCCAGGGAGGGAGGTGGGGTTTGGCTGTGACGGCGAGCAAGCCCCCCCCCCCCACCTGCCGCGTCGCCTCCTGTCCCGGGCACTGCGAGTGTCCACTCAGCCTTCTGAGCTCAGCCCAGACCCCTGCTCTCACCCCTTCCCAGGACCGGCTGCTTCTGCCCTGACCCCTCCCTGCCTGACAGGCGTGTCTTCCCAGCGCAGAAGCCCAGGGGTGGGGGCCGCAGGGGTGAAATGGGAGAGGCGGGGGTCCCGGCCGGTGGCCGTGAGCAAGTCCTCTTCTTGGGGCCTCGGTCAGTGGCCTCCACATGGCTCTACAGAGAACGAGGGTGTTGAACGGTCATCTGGGGGGTGTTCGGGGGGTGGTTGAGCGGAGCGGGCCCCAGGCCCCACCCCAGCTGAGCCAGAGAAGCCCACTCCCCCTCCCCTTCCCTCTACAGCCGGGGCTGCCGCACCAGATTTATCCGGGAGAAGAGAGGATCAGGCCCCTGTCCGGGGACCTTACACAGGTTACGTCTCAGACCCAGCTCCATCTGGGTCTCAGCCCCACAGAGCTGGGAGACGGGTCACCTGGGTTTTGCCTCTGGGGAAGGGGCAGGGCCCCTCCCACAGCCCTTCTGATGGAGGGGGGCTGCTGCTGGGACGGGGGTTCCTCCTTCTGGCCCCCATCTTGGCCTACCTGGTACAGGGTCTCAGGTGAAGGGACTCCTTCAGCTCCTCAGGAGGGACCCCCTCTGCATCTTGATTCGACCGTCGCCTCCCTCCCCTCCCCTCCCCTCCAGCTCCGGGTCTAGGGTGGGCAGGAGGGGGGCGGGCGGCCACACCACCTCGGAAGCCGGCCGCCCTGGGGACCAGCTCCTGGGTCTCCAGCCCTCGGGGGTTTAAGGCCACTTCGCCCCGCAGCCATCTTCCCCGGGGCCGGCCAGCCAGCACCCGGCTCTGCCTGGTCCCCCGGGGAAGTGGGCCCCGGGGCGGCCCAGGACGGAGCCCTCAGGTAGAAATGCGCTCCTCCTCTCCAGTCCCCACCGCTCCCAGTCCTTCCGGTGCTCCCGGTACCCCAGGCAGCGGAAGGAAGGCCTGATTTCTTCTCTGATGGAGCACCGGGAAGGAATCACCCTCAAGGGCACCGCGACCCCAGACCCTGGCCCACACCCGGATGGACCCCACGGGCCCACGGCTCACCGGCTCGGCACGCCTCCTGGCCTACTCCCTGCGGGCAGGACCCAACCCAGGGCCCACCGGGACTCCCGGCGCCGCCCCCGGCGGGGGCCCCCCCCCCCCCCCCCGACCCTGCACTCCTGGCTGGCTACCCGGCAGCCCCTGGCGGGGAAGCGCTCGCTGGCCCCGGGCCGTGCCGCGCCCGCATTTGCTTCCCGTTTCACGGGGTGGCCCTGTCTTGTCCACCAGGGGCAGCCCCAGTGCCCAGAGCAGGACAGACTACTGAAACAGAGTGTCGGGCCACGTGGCCAGAGAGAGCGCCGGGGACCCTGGCCTGACCCCTGGGGGGGGGGGTCGGTGCACACGGGGTCCTGATTTTCTGGCTCAGCGGGAAGACGGTGGTGCCGTTGGTAGGGGGGCAGAGGGGTCAGGCAGAGGGCAGACCCCACCCCGCGACCCTCGAGCCCTTCCCAGGGCTCCACTTTCGGGAAAAGGGGCGGGAGGGGCCTCTCGCCCAAGTGCAGACACACGGGGGAGGGAGGGGGGCCCGGACACACGTGTGCTCGTTCCGCGCGCACACAGGCATGACCGGGGCCGGGCGCAGCTCGCGTTTGCACGAAGGCACCTCCCGGCCCCGGGCTTCTCGGAGCCCCGGGGCCCCCGAGGCCACGTGCACACCCGGGCTGCCCCCGCCGGCCTCACCTCTGCTCCCGTCCCCACAGGTGGCGCAGCTGGACCAGAGGCTGGTGCTCATCACGGACATGCTTCAGCAGCTACTGTCCCTGCACCACGGCGGCCCCCCGGGGAGCCGCCCCCCCAGCGGGGGCGGGGCTCAGGTGCAGCCCTGCGGCCCCACCAACCCCGAGCTCTTCCTGCCGGGCAACGCCCTGCCCACCTACGAGCAGCTGACTGTGCCCCGCAGGGGCCCCGAGGAGGGGTCCTGATGGGGGCTCGGGGACCCAGGCCCTCGAGGGAAGGCCCGGAGGAGCCCCGGCGGCCCCGGGCCCACCTCCCACCCAGCAGGGGCCCCCTGGGTCACTGGCCCCTCCCTCGCAGGCCCCAGACCACCCCCCCCCATGAGCCACGCTGCCCTGAGAGCCTGCTCTTAAAGGGTCCCTGAGGCCCGCCTCTCCCCAGCCGGCGGGTACTAGAACTCGGCTGGGTTCGGGGGCCCCTCTCGGCTCTGAGACCACACCGTGGACCCCACATCACTCGTGTGGCAGTTGGGACACGGTGGCAGGGCGCAGGCTGGACACCCGAGGCACTTGGTCCGTCCCACGTACGGCCAAGAGACAGCACAGGGAGTGCAGGCCCACCCTGGTAGGCCCTAGGGGGCTTCCTGAGAGGAGACAGAGGGGCAGCCTGGACAGGGTCTGGGGGTACCACACCCTCAGACTCGAACCCAGGACCCCTGGAGAAGGCAGGCAGGGCAGGGCAGGCCCAGCCCGTGCCAACTCAAGAATGCCCATGACGGAGGCCCCGGAGCCCCGCTCAGCAGGCCCCAGGCCTGGGCCACGGCTTCCGGCAGGAGGGACCAGCCCACCGCGGTCCCCAGAGTGCTCCCCTGGGGGTGGAATGTCCCCCACTTTGGACTGGCAGCTTCTCCCGCTCACTCCCCGCCCCGCGTGCGGCCCCCGCCTCAGCTCCCCGCCAGGTCCGATCAGCTGGCAGGAGGCACAGAACCGTCGTGTCCCCTGGCCGGCTGCTGGGCGAGGAGTTGCGTGAGGCTGTCACGGTCCCTGCATGGGACAGGGGCTCCTCCCGGGCGTCACGTCTCACAGAAATCAGAATAATTTAAGGTGATTTGGAATCTGTGTTTTAATGAGTTTCACAGTATGATTTTTGACTCTTAATTGTGACGCTTTTCCTAATAAACGTGGACTCACGAAACCTGTCTGGGCCCTGCGCTCGCCTGGGTTCCTGAGGGAGCGACCCGTCCTTGGAACACGCCTGTCCTCCTGGGGAGCACCCTGGGCCCGTCTGCCCTGCCCCAGGGAAGGAGAAGAGGCCTGGAGCCAGCCCGCTGGCAGGAGGGCCCCTCCCAGTGACCCACAGGCACCATGAGGCCAGGCCATTACTGCCCTGTCCCCATTGCCAGCACCGAGGTCAGCTTTGTCCACACGAGCTGAGCAGAGGGAAGGAAACGTGGCCTGCCATCCAGGCCTTGCCCCTGTTGGCACCTTTGCTGGAATGTTCTTCCCACCCTCACCTCCTTGTATTGAAATCGCTCCTTCGGTCCGGGGCCCAGCTCAAAGCCCCCTCCTGCTCTCTCTGGAAGCCCCTCATGGGAAGCAGCCCCTCCAGGCCTTGCGACTCCTCCAAGGGACAGGGGCGATGGGTGAGGTCATTGTCCTCAGACACGCACAGGGTTGGAGCTCAGGGACCGTGTCCTCCAGGCCCACGGCCCACACACCAGCCGCACTGTCACTTCCCGGGCCGCAAGGCTTGGTGTGGACAGCACAGCGCCCAGCCCTCCCCTGCGCGCCTACCTGGGCCACCCCACCTCCCGGCCCAGCTGTCTTCGCCTCCTGCCCGGTGGACAGGATCCCCCCCCAGTCCCCTTACAGGTAGGTGCCCAGGTGGCTGCTACATAGGAACGCACGGTCTGTGTCACAGAGGAGGGGGCCGGTGTTGAGAGAGCTCGCAGAGGCTGTGGATCCCGTCAAAGGCTGCAGCCTTGGTTGGCATGGCTCCTGACTGGGGCTGTTGTGGGCGCCTGGCGTGGCCAAGATGTGGTCACGGCCTGTCGCCCAGCAGCCCCTGAGCCCCTGGGGAAGGCAGGCACCTTGGTAGGACCCAACACTCAATCCAGGCCTGGTCGGAGCTGTGGATGCGGGGTGAGGGGGGCAGAGCCACCCAGGGGAACACTCGTCTGTCCCCCCCCCCCCAGGCAGACCGGCCCTGGGCCGAGCTCCACCACGGCAGTGGGCACGTCCGGGCCCACCCTCCCTTTAAGGAGGTCAAGGAGCAGGGACTGGATCCCCACGGCAGGGGGCGGGGTGCAGGGCCCCTGCACAGACTTGCCTACCCCCCTCTAGGCCTCGACTTCCCCATCAGTAACAAGGGGCTCCCTCGGGCCTGTCCAGAGTCAAGCAGGCTGGGGGCACGTGCCAGGGGAGCCCCAGCCTGCCCTCGCCCCACCCCAGGGGGCCCACGGCACTCTGCGTGGCCCCCCAAGCGGTCGCCCTCGGCCGGGGTGGGGGGTGAGTCCGCTCCACACACCTGTTCCTCCATCGTCTGGGACGGCTGTGCCGTCCTGTTCTCCTTCCAGAGCCCACCCACGTTCCCAGGCGGGCGAGCTGGGGGCGGCTGAGAGTCGGGTCTCTGGAAGCCGCTGGAGGCCAGCGTTGGGACAGGCGGCCCAGGTTTCCGATGGAGGGGAAGCTCTGGCCCCTGTGGGAAGGGAGGGCCCCCGGGTCCCCGCCTTGCCGCGCCCCAATGGGCCGGTGCCCCCTGGGGGGCTCCCACCGCGGGGACTCGGCACCTGGCCTGACCAGCGTGGGCCAGGGCAGGGGAGGACAGGAGGGGCGGCGCAGGGCCCGTGGCCTCCCCCCCACCCACCCTGCACCCACCAGGGGAGGGGCGGGAACGACAATTACTGGAAAGGCAAAAGCTGTTGTTTCCTTGTTGGGTAAACATTTGTGGAAACCCCAGGAAGCGGCCGGCTGGAGAGCAGGGCCCTCCGCGGCGCCCCAGGCCCCCCCAGCACCCCGGCCCCCCGGCCCCCCGGCCCCCCGGCCCCCCGGCCCTGGGTGTGCTGTGGCGGGGCCGCCCATCTGGGCAGGGCACGGCCCCTGCACCCAGCCCGGCTTTGTTTTCCGTATTATCGACTGAACACAAAGTGCCTGAGTGCTTCACTCCTGGACGGGCCATTGCGGCCCTCTCGGGTGTGAAATGCAATTTACCTGAAATAAAGCCCAATTATGGAATTAGCTAATTAAAGCCCGCGGTGGAGGCTGGGCCCGGCCGGCCGGGCGCTCAATGCCCGCCCGGTGCCCGCGGTCTGGGGGAACAGATGGCGCCCCGGCCCGCCGCGCCGGCCGCATTCCTTCACTCTGTCCCCCGATAACTGACTTAGACAGCACACGGCCATCTGGTGTGTGACACATCCTGTGTGCCCCGGACAATGGCCCAGCAGACCTCTCCGGGAGAGGGCCGTCGCCCGGGCAACGGTGGCATGTGCAGCCCAGGCCCACCGGCGGCCCCTCCCCCACCCCTTTGTGGACCTCGAGCACGCGGCTGCCTGGCTCTCGCCGCCGACAATGCCCACGGATATTCGTCCGCAGCCCCCAGCCTTTGTCTCCAAATTGGGCTCCCTTCTAGGGCCCCTCAGCGTCCGATGGGTGCTGGGAGCATCTGCTGGGGTGGCAAGGTGGGGGCGGCCGCTCCCCGGGGCCCCCCCGTCCCCGGGCTGGGTCCCCCTCCCCCACGGGCGTGCCCTCTGGAGCCGGGCGGGTGGCACCTCGCAGACGCTGGGCTCGGCCACGGGGGCCGGGCTCTGAGGCCCGTGCGGGCCCCACCCGAGGGTCGCCCAGTCTGGGGGCGGGGGGGGGGGGGGGGGGCGGCCCCCGCGCGCCTGTGAAAGGGGAGCGGGGAGGGGGCCCCCCAAAGGGGGGGGGGGGAAGGGCTGATGGAGCAAAGACATGTAGGCACTGGGCCCACATCTGGCACACAGTCGGTGCTTAATAAAGGCAGCCAGACAGACCGCCCGGGAGATTCCTGGGTGCTGGGCTCGACCTCCTGGATGCACCCCTCCTGCCAGGCCCGCGTGACCCCTCGGAGCAATGTCTCGGCCCCTCCCGCATCCAGCCTCACCCCCCAGGCCGCTGGCGGAAGCCAGAGAGAGCCGTCCTATGGCCCAGGCTGCTCCCGTCCTGCCCAAGCCAGCCCCAGAGGCCCTGTGAGCCACATGGCACTTCCCCCCCGCCCCCCGCCCCCCCCCCCCCCCCCCGGAGCCCCCGAGTCTCCGGCCAGGCCGGCCCCCACTTATCCCTGTACCGGGCCCCGAGCCGCCAGCGGGCACAGCACCCCCGTCGGGTGCCCACGACGTGCCACTGGAGAAGAGGCTTTCCTGGGACTTTGAGACCACAAGGGTGGCCGGGCGCTGGGTACTCAGGAAGTGCCGGTTAAACTAAGGGATACATTGAGGGTTTGGAAAGAGGCTGGTGGCACCAGGGGGCGGCAGACGTGCCCGGACGTGGGCACGGCTCCACCGGGCCGTGCCATCTGGGGAGTCCGCCGCCCTGTGCCCTGAAGGAGGGGATCAGGCGGGTGTTTTGACTGACGTGGCCGGACAGCTGGGGCGGGGGAAAAAGGATCTCCTCTAGCACCAGAGCAGGGGCCACCGTCCTGCCCCATCCCAAGGTCCCTGCGGCCAGGGCACCACCCTTCCCTGCCCGTTCCTCAGGTGCCAGCTGTGTGGCAAGGGGGAGGGGTCCACTCTGAACCCAGGATCCTGCTCTCTCAGCGGGTCCTTCCACGACCTCCTGGGCTTGATTCTGTCGTATGGCCCTCCCGGCAGCACCCCCTGTGAGGCACCAGGGGTGCTGTGGGGGTGCTTGAGGTCTCCCCACACCCTTACCCCCTCCAGCAGTCCCCAGCACCCCAGGCACCTTAGTGAGGCAGAAGGTGACGGACACCAGAGAATGCTCAGACCCTCCCTTCCTCTCACTCGGAGCTCTGTCCCCGAGCCCTCCCTGCAGGCACAGCTACACCCACCCACCCCCTCCCCCCCACCTGTCCCCAGGCCCAGGTTCACACGTGTCTGGGCAGTGGCCCCTCACCCTGAGGAGGGCCCATCCCGGTGTCTGTCGGGAGCCTGGCCTCCTCCTGCTTCCTGCGTGGGGACCCAGGTTGCAGGAGCAGGGGTGTGGAGACTGAGCTGAGAGCCTGTTGCTTGGACAGCACCGTGTCCAGGACCCCCACCTGCCCACGACTCTGAAACCCCCGCCCCCACCTCCTCTCCCGCCCCAGCCCCCTCCCTACCCTGCTCCGCGAAACTTCCCCCTGGTCTCTAGCCTCTAGGAAGCGTGTGATCTTTGTGAGTAACATCAAAGCAGGAGACGAG